ATAACTACCCTGTTATCAGTGTAATAACACCCATCACATAACTGCCCTGTTATCAGGGTTATAACACCCATCACATAACTACCCTGTTATCAGTGTAATAACACCCATCACATAACTACCCTGTTATCAGTGTAATAACACCCATCACATAACTGCCCTGTTATCAGGGTTATAATATCCATCACATAACTACCCTGTTATCAGTGGTATAACACACATTACATAACTACCCTGTTATCAGTGTAATAACACCCATCACATAACTACATGTTATCAGTAATATAACACACATAACATAACTACCCTGTTATCAGTGTAATAACACCCATCACATAACTACCCTGTTATCAGTGTTATAACACACATTACATAACTACCCTGTTATCAGTGTAATAACACCCATCACATAACTACCATGTTATCAGTTTTATAACATCCATCACATAACTACAAGTTATCAGTGTAATAACACCCATCACACAACTACCCTGTTATCAGTGTAATAACACCCATCACATAACTACCCTGTTGTCAGTGTTATAACACCCATCACATAACTACCCTGTTATCAGTTTTATAACATCCATCACATAACTACCCTGTTATCAGTGTAATAACACCCATCACATAACTACCCTGTTATCAGTGTAATAACACCCATCACACAACTACCCTGTTATCAGTGTAATAACACCCATCACATAACTACCCTGTTATCAGTGTAATAACACCCATCACATAACTGCCCTGTTATCAGGGTTATAATATCCATCACATAACTACCCTGTTATCAGTGTAATAACACCCATCACATAACTGCCCTGTTATCAGGGTTATAACACCCATCACATAACTACCCTGTTATCAGTGTAATAACACCCATCACATAACTACCCTGTTATCAGTGTAATAACACCCATCACATAACTGCCCTGTTATCAGGGTTATAATATCCATCACATAACTACCCTGTTATCAGTGTAATAACACCCATCACATAACTGCCCTGTTATCAGGGTTATAACACCCATCACATAACTACCCTGTTATCAGTGTAATAACACCCATCACATAACTTCCCTGTTATCAGTGTTATAACACCCATCACATAACTACCCTGTTATCAGTGTAATAACACCCATCACATAACTACCCTGTTATCAGTGTAATAACACCCATCACATAACTGCCCTGTTATCAGGGTTATAATATCCATCACATAACTACCCTGTTATCAGTGTAATAACACCCATCACATAACTGCCCTGTTATCAGGGTTATAACACCCATCACATAACTACCCTGTTATCAGTGTAATAACACCCATCACATAACTTCCCTGTTATCAGTGTTATAACACCCATCACATTTTGCCATAATTGGCTAAACGTTCCCATTGTTAGTACACCTTGCCCGATGGGCCACAAGAGGTTATGTCTTCATTCACCTCCATTGTCTCCTGTCATCTGTTTGTTCATCTTGCATCAAATTTTTTATGTAAACAACTTCTTGATAACCAACAGATCAAATATCATGGTATTTGGCTGGTGGACTGTTAGGATGAAGTCCGACAAAATTTGCGAAAAGAAATGAACGACATTCAAGGTCACAGAGGTCAAATTTGTTATATTAACAAACTATTAAAGCAACTTCTTCTGATTAACCAAAATACCCAGAAGCATGATATTTGTCTGATATCTTCATAAAAGTAATGACCTTCACCTATATTCAAAGTCGTACAGGTCAGTTTTGAAAATCTCAAACAACTTATATATCATGCTAGTGAAGCTAACACATATTACAAGATATCATCCAAACAAGAGATCCCAGAGGGATAATTGTGCTCACAGTTGTTTGATCTTTATTTGTCATTTGAAAGTTGGATCTTTTCCCTTTTTTCACTTCTCTGCTGTGTTTTTGCTGTTAATTACAAGAAATATGAACATTCCTTTGCAGAAATAATGATGATAATCTTTAACTGCCAAATCCAAGATTGTCACCTAATAGTCAATTTTTTTTCCTAATCAGTGCCAAAATCAAACGGGCACAACTACAGAACAAGGGGAACCTGAGAACCTACATATGAAATTTGAGAGAGATCTATTCAGTACTTCTTAAGAAATAATGATAAAAAACTTTACTAGGCAAAATCCAAGATGGCCACTTGTCAGCCATTTTTTTTCTGATCAGTTTCAAAATCAAGCAGGAACAACTACGGAACAAGAGGAACCTACACATGAAATTTGAGAAAGATCTCAAGGAATAGTGTTAAGGAACTTTCAAAACCAAAATCAAAGATGGCCACATGCTGGCCATTTTGTTTCTCTGATCAGTTCCAAAATCGAACAGATACAACTAGAGACCAAGGAAAAGCTACATATGAAAATTAAGAAAATCCATCCAGTACTTCTCGAGAAATGGCAATAACAAAACTTGTTGACAGAGGGATGGACGAAAGAACAAACGATGTGATAATGGTGGGCTAAAAAGCTGTGTCATCCATGTTGATTATGAATTATGCACCAAAATATTTATACATGTATGCTAAAAATGTACTCTGCTGTTGGTGTTTGAAATGCATCGCTTGTGTGAGTTTGTAATACAGAAAAGAGATTTACAGAAAAAATCCAACACAGCTGAGATAAACATATACCTTTTACTACAAAGCAAAAAAAAAAAAAAAGGATAAATTCAATATAAATATAAATATGGGGAAAACATTTGCCCTTTTATATAAAATATTTATGATTTATAACAAGCAACAGTGGAAAATTCTACTTTTCCATATCTGTCTCATACATAAACAGCAGTATTGCCACAGTTTTATCACATGGCATACATTTAATATGAAGAATTCAAAGATCAGAAGTATATATAACAGAAGGAATTCTGCCTCACACCTTACTAGTACAGTATTGTGTGTTTAACTGAAACTCAAAGTCAGAGACGAATTAAATCTGTTTATCACATAAAACATATAACTGAAGGCCAGGAGTCCAAACTCTGTTTCTAGGTCTGTATCAAAGTACAGCAGTGTAATGTTGTTTCTCACATTTTTATCAACACTGATGTAAACCAATGAAATCTTTTCATATTCTGTTTCTCACAGGGACAATTATATCAATCAGGCACATCAGGTATATTGATTCTAATCACAAGTTTAAGATTCTGTTTCTCACAGAGGTAATGCTATCATACAGACAAATAGTGAAATTCCATTTAACACACTGGCATATACATGCAACATATTTACTGAAAAGTACATGATTCTACATAATAATCCATGTAATGGATCAGTATATCGATATATAAATAATGTATCACAAAAAGACATCTACAATACATATAAGTAATATCACAGGTAGTAGTTTCCTTCAAATAAAGGTCTAAGTGATATGATATGTACATTGCATTTATACATCACAAAAAATGAATATCCTTTACGAAAATGGAGCAATTTACATAATAATAATTCATATAATGAAAATATCTGCCAAGTACTATAAAACCAAACATTAATTTATACCAAAATAAACTATATAGTGTTGCCTACCTATACCTACCTACGTATAGATTCTCTTCAAGGCCACAGTTTACTTCTAACCTGTCTCGACAGTGCCTAAAAAACAATCTCATTCATCAATAATGTACTTTTTTTCGGTAGGTAAGGAATTGATTGTACATTTTGTAAATGATTGCCCCAAAGAAGAATTTGATAATTAAATATTTAGCATACACGGTTGGATGCACATGATAGATTTGACTCGATCGCAGGAGACATTGATAATTTACTGTTGAGTTGTACTGTTAAGACGCCTAATGAGCTTTGTCACACCTGGCTGGAACCAGCTTGAATTAGTCATACATTAGCAAGTATTTAAACATTTATACTAAAGCTATTTTTTCTTGTTTCCTGTTTGTCTCGGAATAAAAAGTGGTGTAATGATGTGAGATAATAATAAAGTGTAGAATTAGTGACTGATGATGACAAACTCCCTCCAGCCTTTCTCTTAAGTAACTGTGCTCACATATATCACCTACAGCAAATCTAAATAAATGTCACACTTCCTGTGTAAGAAAATTTATCTTAAAAAGACAATGATTGGTATTTTGTGTGTGTGTGGTTTTTTTTGTTTTTGTTTTTTTGTTTTTTGTTTTGGCTTTAGGCTGTTTTAGAAGCAATACAAACTTTGATGATCAGTAAAATTCCTAGTTTTGGCATTAAAGTAAATTTGGGACATTGATGAAAATATGAAGAGTGAATTCTATAAATGATACCATTTGCTTTTTAATGTTGTACAGATAGTGACAGACCTTGTGAATGACAGTCCACCTGTGTCAGGTGTCTCATGTTATGTACACCTCCAATGGTCAAAGGGAGATAATTACAAATTATGTACATCACATGATAAAAGGTAAGGTAGGTATACATTGACTTAACATAGAACTATTTCTGATATGCAATATAAATTAAAACATATTATTTCATTTAAGAATAACTATGGTAATATTATTCCCAAAAATTACCTATATGGTTATAGATAAGTTTGTCCAATACATCTAGAAAACCATGTACCTATAAATATCTCTCTCACAATAAATAGAAAATGTAATAAAAACCAACAAAACTTTTAACACTTCGTTTACATAAATAATTGAATATATTAAAAATATGTAACAACATTTATATATAGACTCACCTGACCAGTCTTTGAAACAAAATATTGCTTTTTGTTATTTTAATCTGAATAATTATAAATAATTTCAATTACTGTTTTTGTATACTTTGATAGGTTATGTCATGAATATTGTCAGCTATTTTAGAATTACACACAGCTGTTGTTTAATCAAAAGCGGTTGATCTAAGTCTGAACCTTTCCTCAAACACTCCATTAAAATATCAAATATTTACAATGTTGTTGTTGTTATGTCATTATATATAACAATATTCAAACCTTTCCTACACAAAAACCATTTGTCAAAAAATTGTGCCTGAAATCATGGATCAGCATGGATCAGCATGGATCACTATGGATCAGCATGGATCAGCATGGATCACTATGGATCAGCATGGATCACTATGGATCAGCATGGATCAGCATGGATCATTATGGATCAGCATGGATCACTATGGATCAATATGGATCATTATGGATCACTATGAATCAGCATGGATCAGCATGGATCAGCATGGATCCCTATGGATCAGCATGGATCATTATGGATCAGCATGGATCATTATGGATCAGCATGGATCAGCATGGATCCCTATGGATCAGCATGGATCAGCATGGATCACTATGGATCAGCATGAATCACTATGGATCAGCATGGATCACTATGGAGGAAATGAGGACCACCATTTTGGTTTCAAAAGTATTTTGTAAAATATGTCAAATCCACACTTGATGAAATACCTTTTTTTAAACAGATATTTTATGTTCATTACTTCAGGGTAAAAAAAAATTAAGAGTGCAAACTTTTACAGGAACCCAAATTTATTTTGATAGTTATCACTTCTGCTGGATTCTGATATTATGGAAATCAGGACAGTTTTCTTATTAGAGTTAATAAAGTGTCTATACACCCCATAATCACCATGCATCACGTGTGGACAAATTGGTCTTTTTGTTCAATGAAACAGAAAATATCAAAAGTGTTTGGGCACTGTTCCTGTTTAAACACTGGTCATGTTAGTTTAAATAAGATATAAGTTTTGATGTAGGTGATGTGACAGGAGGTAACAAAAAGGAATTTAAATTTTACTTAAGAGAAAATAACAGCAAATATTTAGAGAGAAAATAACAGCAAATGTGCAGAGAGAAAATAACAGCAAATGTGTAGAGAGAAAATAACAGCAAATGTGTAGAGAGAAAATAACAGCAAATATTTAGAGAGAAAAATCAACAAAGAATAAATCAACAGAAAATATTGAATATCAAATAAAACTAACTTATTTTTGTACAAGTAGGGTACAGCTAAAATGATGCTTCAAAACATACTATTTGACATAAAATTACTAAATCAGTTTTAAAATAAAAATGACATTTAACTGAAATTGATGCTAAATTGTTAAACATTATTTAATGCTGATAGAAATTCATGATCAATTCACCTAAAAATAGCACAAAATTCATGACAGAGTATTACAAGCTAGTAACTCAATCTCTCTTCAATCACAAAGGAAGGGGCATAACCCTGGTGGACTTGGAATGTAATTTTAGAAAGTGACACTCCACTTTCCCTGGAGATGTCCTTGCATGCAAACAAAGTTCCTAGACAACATGATATATTTTGATACACCAAGTATGTGTCACCTTCTTGATAGTCATGATTATAAACTACATTGGATTATTTTAAATCATCATTTAAGATAAATTAAAATGAGATTAAGAAAATGCTTGAACCAACATGTGAGATAATCACAGACAGAGATGAGGTAATATTGAAGACTTGTAAATATTCATAGACAAATTTCTTTTTAACAAAATCAACATTCACAGTCTAATGCCATAATGAGCCCTCAGATCATGTCAGTTAGAAAATAAAAAGAAATCTAAGTTTGTCTACATTTCATCCAAAAAATGTAGGTAAACAATAATTACTTATATAAACATCAATAAACAAACAAATAGCAGCATCAATGTCAGAGTATTTCCCTTGTTCCCACAGGTAAGTAAATATTGCAGGTACTAATTGGATCGTGTGCAAACTATATACCTGTACAGTATAATAAATGAATGGGAGGTTAATAAATACTCATTACATTTATAGCTTTAACTTGGCACATAAGGTTTGCATATCAGTGAAAACTCGTTGACAGCAGCAAATTCCGAGAGATTTCTCAACAGAAACGAATAATGCAGGAATCAGAGTAAAAAGACACTGTTGGTGAATTTATCTCGATCCATGACAGACTTAACATGTAGAGTCTAAGGGAGGTAACTGTTATTGTTATTGTACTAGTGATGGAGTTCCAAGACTGGTAATAGACTCAGATCTCTGCATGGCAGCAGCAATATGTCGTGATGTATCCCACCTGTAATAGAACCAACAAATGATCAGTGTTGATATACTGGTCTGTTAATTACACAAAGCCAGCTCAGTTTAAACAACAGCACACACAGTAAAATGCCAACACCACATTTAATTACTGTCAATTTCTGTAAAAATTAACTGTATCTGATTTTATATATACATAGGCATTTTATAAGCAGAATGTTATAGATACATTTCAATTTATATGATATTTAAACCATGCAATTATAACCCCTCTATTAAGATAGAATTTGCCTGTAAATCTCTGATATTAATTTGAATAGACCTGTGTCAAATGGCCAATTTCTAATACCTGAAAAAAGGACATGTCAATACACAAATGTTTCATAAATTCAGAGATAAATCTGTCAATACATGTAATTATTTCTAAATCAATATATGAAGGAGGACCTGTCAATAAATTGATAAAAAATCTGAAGGATTACTTGTTTGGACTTGTCAACTGACAAATTTCTAATTACATGTGGGTAGGACCTGTCAACTGGCAAATTTTAAACTACATCTGAAATGTATCTGTCAACTAACAAAATTCTAATTACATGTGGAGAGAACCTGTCCACTGATAAATTTCTAATTACATGTGGGGAGGACCTGTCAATTGACAAAATTCTAATTACATGTGGGGAGGACCTGTCAATTGACAAAATTCTAATTACATGTGGCGAGGACCTGTCAACTGGCAAAATTCTAATTAAATGTGGAGAGGACCTGTCCACTGATAAATTTCTAATTACATGTGGGGAGGACCTGTTAACTAACAAAATTCTAATTACATGTCGCGAGGAACTGTCAACTGGCAAAATTCTAAGTACATGTGGAGAGGACCTGTCAACTAACAAAATTCTAATTACATGTGGAGAGGACCTGTCCACTGATAAATATCTAATTACATGTGGGGAGGACCTGTCAATTGACAAAATTCTAATTACATGTGGGGAGGACATGTCCACCAATAAATTTCTAATTACATGTGGAGAGGACCTATCAACTAACAAACTTCTAATTACATGTGGGCAGGACCTGTCAACTAACAAAATTCTAATTACATGTGGAGAGGACCTGTCAATTGACAAATTTCTAATTACATGTGGGGAAGACCTGTCAACTAACAAAATTCTAATTACATGTGGGGAGGACCTGTCAATTGACAAATTTCTAATTACATGTGGGGAGGACCTGTCAATTGACAAATTTCTAATTACATGTGGGGAGGAGCTGTCAACTAACAAACTTCTTATTACATGTGGGGAGGACCTGTCCACTGATAAATTTCTAATTACATGTGGTGAGGACCTGTTAACTAACAAAATTCTAATTACATGTGGCGAGGACCTGTCAATTGACAAAATTCTAATTACATGTGGAGAGGACCTGTCAACTAACAAAATTCTAATTACATGTGGAGAGGACCTGTCCACTGATAAATATCTAATTACATGTGGGGAGGACCTGTCAATTGACAAAATTCTAATTACATGTGGGGAGGACCTGTCCACCAATAAATTTCTAATTACAAGTGGGCAGGACCTGTCAACTAACAAAATTCTAATTACATGTGGAGAGGACCTGTCAATTGACAAATTTCTAATTACATGTGGGGAAGACCTGCCAACTAACAAAATTCTAATTACATGTGGAGAGGACCTGTCAATTGACAAATTTCTAATTACATGTGGGGAGGACCTGTCAACTAACAAAATTCTAATTACATGTGGGGAGGACCTGTCAATTGACAAATTTCTAATTACATGTGGGGAGGAGCTGTCAACTAACAAAATTCTTATTACATGTGGGGAGGACCTGTCCATTGATAAATTTCTAATTACATGTGAGGAGGACCTGTCAATTGACAAATTTCTAATTACAAGTGGGCAGGACCTGTCAACTAACAAAATTCTAATTACATGTGGAGAGGACCTGTCAATTGACAAATTTCTAATTACATGTGGGGAAGACCTGCCAACTAACAAAATTCTAATTACATGTGGAGAGGACCTGTCAATTGACAAATTTCTAATTACATGTGGGGAGGACCTGTCAACTAACAAAATTCTAATTACATGTGGAGAGGACCTGTCAATTGACAAATTTCTAATTACATGTGGGGAGGAGCTGTCAACTAACAAAATTCTTATTACATGTGGGGAGGACCTGTCCATTGATAAATTTCTAATTACATGTGAGGAGGACCTGTAAACTAACAAAATTCTAATTACATGTGGCGAGGACCTGTCAACTAAAAAAAATTCTAATTACATGTGGGGAGGACCTGTCAACTAACAAAATTCTAATTACATGTGAGGAGGACCTGTCAACTAACAAAATTCTAATTACATGTGGGGAGGACATGTCCACCAATAAATTTCTAATTACATGTGGTAAGGACCTGTCAACTTACTAAATTCTAATTACATGTGGGGAGGACCTGTCAATTGACAAATTTCTAATTACATGTGGGGAGGACCTGTCAACTAACAAAATTCTAATTACATGTGAGGAGGACCTGTCAACTAACAAAATTCTAATTACATGTGGAGAGGACCTGTCAATTGACAAATTTCTAATTACATGTGGGGAGGACCTGTCAACTGACAAATTTCTAATTACATGTGGGGAGGAGCTGTCAGCTAACAAACTTCTTATTACATGTGGGGAGGACCTGTCCATTGATAAATTTCTAATTACATGTGGAGAGGACCTATCAACTAACAAACTTCTAATTACATGTGGGGAGGACCTGTCAACTAACAAACTTCTAATTACATGTGGGGAGGACCTGTCCATTGATAAATTTCTAATTACATGTGGGGAGGACCTGTCAACTAACAAAATTCTAATTACATGTGGGGAGGACCTGTCAACTGGCAAATTTCTGATTACATGTGGGGAGGACCTGTCAACTAACAAAATTCTAATTACATGTGAGGAGGACCTGTCAACTAACAAAATTCTAATTACATGTGGGAAGGACCTGTCAACTTACTAAATTCTAATTACATGTGGGGAGGACCTGTCAATTGACAAATTTCTAATTACATGTGGGGAGGACCTGTCAATTGACAAATTTCTAATTACATGTGGGGAGGAGCTGTCAACTAACAAACTTCTTATTACATGTGGGGAGGACCTGTCCATTGATAAATTTCTAATTACATGTGGGGAGGACCTGTCAACTAACAAACTTCTAATTACATGTGGGGAGGACCTGTCAACTAACAAAATTCTAATTACATGTGGAGAGGACCTGTCCATTGATAAATTTCTAATTACATGTGGGGAGGACCTGTCAACTAACAAAATTCTAATTACATGTGGGGAGGACCTGTCAACTGGCAAATTTCTGATTACATGTGGGGAGGACCTGTCAACTAACAAAATTCTAATTACATGTGGGAAGGACCTGTCAACTGACAAAATTCTAATTACATGAGGGGAGGACCTGTCAATTGACAAATTTCAAACTATATATGAAATGGATCTGTCAATTGACAAATTTCTTTTTAAATCATTAGCACATAGAGAGGGAACTTTTGGTTTCAAGTTGGAACCTAGCCAAAAGAAATCATTAATTATGAAAACTTCTGTTACAAACATGTTTTAGATATGCACAAATTAAACACTAAGCAAGACAATTGTTACTAAGGCTAACTACATACATAAGCCATATCAAAACTAGAGTTATGAGGTGACACATAACAGGAGTAGTGAGAAGCCACACAGCTTTTAATCTAAGTTTTTCATGCATTCATAACTCCCTAAAATCTCCTATAAAATAGACTAACTGAAAATCAGCATGCCTTATGATTTAATTTTCAATGTGGGTATAAACAAGAGGCTCATAGGGCCTGTATCGCTAACCAGATTTAGTTTTTATTTCAAAGTAAGGGAAAAGTATTTAAAACATTTGTATTCATTTCCTTGTAATAGACTCGACCCTCCTCCAAAAAGGGGTTAGATGCAGCAGATTGTAAATATGTTCTCTTCACCATGAATGTCTTCAGTTCCAACATAATAAAGATTTTAAAGAATTTGTTCAGTGGCCAGACCCACCATTTACACAGATTTGGTTCCTCTTTTCCCAGGGATGCTTCAGACAAAATTTGATTAAAATGGGCGCAGTTATTCATGGATAGCTGCAATATATAGTAAAAGTTGCCAGAGGACGGATGGAGGACGAGCATTGCTGTATCCCTATAGCCCGCTTGACCCTTCCTGCCAGGCAAGCTAATAAAACTTAGATAAAATGACTGGATACAATGTACCAGCAATAAAATCCTAAATTTTCCAAAATGTAACACAACATACCAGATATAGATCATTCTTAAACTGGAAGTTATAGTATATGATCTGGATTTTTCTTTTTTTTTTTCTTTCACAACTCTGACTCTCCCTCTGTTAAACAAACTTACCAAACTGTATGGTAAATTAAGGCAATTTTTGAAAGAAACATCTTGGATTAAAGAAGATATAGGGAGTTAACTTTAAAAAAAAATATGCATAAGAATATCAAAGAATTGCTAACCAATACTTCACAAATACGCTTTTCAACTAAACAGCGAGACCAAAAATGATAATTTACCATGTTCTCTTATTGGTTCAGAATGACTGAGTTATAAGTACAGAAAGTGTTGATATTACCATGTCTAAAATCTGTTTTGTTGAGTTGAAGAAAATCAGTAGGTTGTGTTCTTATTTAATTCATCCACTCTATCAAAGAGCAGAGCCAGTCCCATCCCTCCCTAACACTTCAGAATTATAAAATCTGATTGTAAACCTGTAGGGAGTGGATTTTTCTGCACACAAATCAATCTAAAGCTAAAACAAGATGCCATGCTAAGCACGTACTATACACTACTGTATGTAATATCTACCAAGTTACCTTGTGTTTCATCATACACTGTGAACTTTTCTGGTGAGATTACAGAAATTCATGGTCATCAATCCATTGAAAAATTAATACATTTTATGAATGTTAAAACTCACAAAATATGTTTCATGTAACATACATTTCTGAATTTGTGTAACTTATGACTCAATTTGCAGATTTTAATTAATTTATTTTTTTAAATAAAGTACAGCTCAAAAGCAAAAACAGGAAATCACAAAACAAGAAATCATACAACATTGATTATAAGGAAAATCCGAATAAACCATTTCTATACTACCCACCACCATAATTAGAAAATTATAATTTTCAGTAAATTAGAAATATGATCATGAAACAAAGTATAAAACAGAAGATATGACAAAGTTTAAACAATGATAATAATGTTTGTGTTACAATTATCAATCCAGACAACATTATACACAGATATTACACTTTGTATATAGAGAAATCCTTATATAGACATCACATTTATCATATCCTCATAGAGATGTTTAAACCCATTTTCATAAATAAATCAACTGAGCAAAAATTAAACAATAATTGTCTGAATGTCAAATTGATTTGATATTAATGACATTCCTGTTTTAATCAAAATTCAACTTTACAGACACTAACGTTGAAAGCGATACTTTGTACCAATCAACACACACAGCATTTCACGTACGAAACTCTTCCCAATTACATAGCTACATCATACAAAAATAAAATGCCTACAAACTGAAGCCAGCGAAAACATCATCTTTGTAGCATCATTTATCAAAGCTGGTAATAATATTCATCAGACATTAAATTACTGATAAAAATCAATATCAGCATTAAATAATCTGTCACTACTAGATCGTTATATAACCAAATTGAAACAAGGAATTTCATCATAAATTACTGAATTAGAATTATCAAAATTTTGATAACGATAACTGAAAATACCTTAATGTAAAAATTTGTTTATAAATATCACATCTGAAGTGAAAATGAACAGAGTAGAGTAAATATCCAAAGATCTGATCGTATTTACAACTGTAGGGATAAATACGTACTTAGGTCCTTTTTCCTTTTTAACAGGCTCACGTTTGGGTCGTTTTAGTTTGAGTAGATGGAATGCTGGCTCAAGGACTCTGTCCATTGCTGGTGGCTGTGTCACATCATGTACCATCAACACATACTCTCCTACAATTCAACAACAGAACTTAGTGAGAATGCCAGGAAAAGTGACATCATTAATATCTTATACAAGGTAGATAACTCTGGTAACACGATATCAATACATATCTAAATCTATTGACGGAACGCTAATATTTTAGTTGTAGATTCTGGTATGGTAAGATGACTTCACTAAGACTCCTGTAGTGGTAGATTCTGGTATGGTGAGATGACTTCACTAGGACTCCTGTAGTGGTAGATTCTGGTATGGTGAGATGACTTCACTAGGACTCCTGTAGTGGTAGATTCTGGTATGGTAAGATGACCTCACTAGGACTCCTGTAGTGGTAGATTCTGGTATGGTGAGATGACTTCACTAGGACTCCTGTAGTGGTAGATTCTGGTATGGTGAGATGACTTCACTAGGACTCCTGTAGTGGTAGATTCTGGTATGGTAAGAGAACTTCACTAGGACACTGTAGTGGTAGATTCTGGTATGGTGAGATGACTTCACTAGGACTCCTGTAGTGTTAGATTCTGGTATGGTGAGATGACTTCACTAGGACTCCTGTCATTGTAGATTCTGTTATGTTGAGATGACTTCACTAGGACTCCTGTAGCGGTAGATTCTGGTATGGTGAGATGACTTCACTAGGAATCCTGTAGTGGTAGATTCTGGTATGGTAAGATGACTTCACTAGGACTCCTGTAGTGGTAGATTCTGGTATGGTGAGATGACTTCACTAGAACACTGTAGTGGTAGATTCTGTTATGGTGAGATGACTTCACTAGGACTCCTGTCATTGTAGATTCTGTTATGTTGAGATGACTTCACTAGGACTCCTGTAGTGGTAGATTCTGGTATGGTGAGATGACTTCACTAGGACTCCTGTAGTGGTAGATTCTGGTATGGTAAGATGACTTCACTAGGACTCCTGTAGTGGTAGATTCTGGTATGGTGAGATGACTTCACTAGGACTCCTGTAGTGGGTATGGTGAGATGACTTCACTAGGACTCCTGTAGTGGTAGATTCTGGTATGGTAAGAGAACTTCACTAGGACTCCTGTAGTGGTAGATTCTGGTATGGTAAGAGGACTTCACTAGGACACTGTAGTGGTAGATTCTGGTATGGTAAGAGAACTTCACTAGGACTCCTGTAGTGGTAGATTCTGGTATGGTAAGATGACTTCACTAGGACTCCTGTAGTGGTAGATTCTGGTATGGTATGAAGATTTCACTAGGACTCCTGTAGTGGTAGATTCTGGTATGGTATGAAGATTTCACTAGGACTCCTGTAGTGGTAGATTCTGGTATGGTATGAAGATTTCACTAGGACTCTTGTATCGAATCAGGACCTGATTGTGAAAGCCTCCATGTAACTGATGTGCCCCTAACCCTAACCCGTTTTTGATTTGCCCTTACTCTTTGATGGCCCTGTATACTCTCTGGTCTCCAGAATAAGGACACCAGGACTAACCTATACCTCACTATTTACACCAGTGTTGGCATTACTGTTAGACTACAGCTGTACTAAGAACACAGTAGTAAGAGGAAAACTACCTGTTTTGGCATATTTTTCTTGTCTTTCCTTTTCTCTCTGTTTTCTGTATCTGTCAACTGAAATATAAAGTGATATTATGTGATGGCGTCTACAGGAAAATCTAACAAGTGAGAAAAGATTGTAATGATATGTTTTGATTATATTTATTAGAAATGGTTTTCTATGGTAACTACAGCTTGATAAACTAAACTATGTGTTAATTACATTTTAATTTATACATAGAAGTCAACTACATTTTGATTACAGTAATTACAGGGAGTTAGAGAAACCACAGATAAACTGTGATACATATCAATTACATTTTGATTACAGTAATTACAGGGAGTTAGAGAAACCACAGATAAACTGTGATACATATCAATTACATTTTGATTACAGTAATTACAGGGAGTTAGAGAAACCACAGATAAACTGTGATACATATCAATTACATTTTGATTACAGTAATTACATAGAAAACATAGTGATGTGATAATTACACATAAAATGACTACATACATACTACACTTGGCATTGTTTTTTCTTGTCTAGCTTCAGAATTAGTACATTTTGTGATTTATGAGTATTTTTCTAAAATAACTGTAGTCTACACATAAAATTGTAAAAAGTCTATTTAATCTGAACTTACAAGACATAAAACATGAAGGATATAATTTTAATTACAAAATGTCTGAACTAGTTATATGCAAAAAACAGACAACTTTATTGTTATTAAAACCATACACTCATGTTAATTCATGAAAACTGCAAGCATAATGTTAATATTTCAAACTCAAGTTTGGTTACACTGACAGCTGTAGCATTAGGGTAAGACTGACAGCTGTAGCATTAGGGTAAGACTGACAACTGCAGCATTATGGTAAGACTGACAACTGCAGCATTAGGGTAAGACTGACAGCTGTAGCATTAGGGTAAGGCTGACAGCTGTAGAATTAGGGTAAGACTGACAACTGCAGTATTAACGTAAGACTGACAACTGCAGCATTAGGGTAAGACTGACAACTGCAGCATTAGGGTAAGACTGACAACTGCAGCATTAGGGTCAGTCAGACTGACAACTGCAGCATTAGGGTAAGACTGACAACTGCAGCATTAGGGTAAGACTGACAACTGCAGCATTAGGGTCAGTCAGACTGACAACTGCAGCATTAGGGTAAGACTGACAACTGCAGCATTAGGGTAAGACTGACAACTGCAGCATAAGGGTAAGACTGAAAACTGCAGCATTAAGGTCAGACTGACAACTGCAGCATTAGGGTCATACTTACAACTGCAGCATTAAGGTAAGACTGACAACTGCAGTATTAGGGTAAAACTGACAACTGTAGCATTAGGGTAAGACTGACAACTGCAGTATTAGGGTAAGACTGACAACTGTAGTATTAGGGTAAGACTGACAACTGCAGCATTAGGGTAAGGCTGACAACTGCAGTATTAGGGTAAGACTGACAACTGTAGTATTAGGGTCAGACTGACAACTGCAGTATTATGGTAAGACTGACAACTGCAGCATTAGGGTAAGGCTGACAACTGAAGCATTAGGGTAAGGTTGACAACTGCAGCATTAGGGTAAGGTTGACAACTGCAGCATTATGGTCAGACTGAAAACTGCAGCATTAGGGTAAGGCTGACAACTGCAACATTAGGGTAAGGCTGACAACTGCAGCATTAGGGTCAGACTGACAACTGCAGCATTAGGGTAAGGCTGACAACTGCAACATTAGGGTAAGGCTGACAACTGCAGCATTAGGGTCAGACTGACAACTGCAATATTATGGTAAGACTGACAACTGCAGCATTAGGGTCAGAACGACAACTGCAGCATTAGGGTAAGGCTGACAACTGCAGCATTAGTGTAAGGCTGACAACTGCAGCATTAGGGTAATGCTGATAACTGCAACATTAGGGTAAGACTGACAACTGTAGCATTAGGGTTAGACCGACAACTGCAGTATTAGGGTAAGGCTGACAACTGCAGCATTAGGGTCATACTGACAACTGCAGCATTAGGGTAAGACTGATAACTGCAGCATTAGGGTAAGACTGATAACTGCAGCATTAGGGTAAGGCTGATAACTGCAGCATTAGGGTCATACTGACAACTGCAGCATTAGGGTAAGACTGACAACTGCAGCATTAGGGTAAGACTGACAACTGTAGCATTAGGGACAGTCAGACTGACAACTGCAGCATTAGGATTAGATCGACAACTGCAGCATTAGGGTCAGACTGACAACTGTAGCATTAAGGTAAGGCTGACAACTGCAGCATTAGGGTAAGACTAACAACTGAAGCATTAGGGTCAGACTGAAAACTGCAGCATCATGGTAAGACTGACAACTGCAGCATTAGGGTAAGGCTGACAACTGCAGCATTAGGGTAAGACTAACAACTGAAGCATTAGGGTCAGACTGAAAACTGCAGCATCATGGTAAGACTGACAACTGCAGCATTAGGGTAAGGCTGACAACTGTAGCATTAGGGTAAGACTGACAATTGCAGCATTAGGGTAAGACTAACAACTGCAGCATTAGGGTAAGACTGACAATTGCAGCATTAGGTTAAGACTAACAACTGCAGCATTAGGGTAAGACTGACAACTGCAGCATTAGGGTAAAACTAACAACTGAAGCATTAGGGTAAGACTGACAACTGCAGCATTAGGGTAAGGCTGACAACTGAAGCATTAGGGTCAGACTGACAACTGCAGCATTAGGGTAAGGCTGACAACTGAAGCATTAGGGTAAGGCTGACAACTGCAGCATTAGGGTAAGACTGACAACTGCAGTATAATGGTAAAACTGACAACTGCAGCATTAGGGTAAGACTGACAACTGAAGCATTAGGGTCAGACTGAAAACTGCAGCATCATGGTAAGACTGACAACTGCAGCATTAGGGTAAGGCTGACAACGCAGCATTAGGGTAAGGCTGACAACGCAGCATTAGGGTAAGACTGACCACTGAAGCATTAGGGTAAGACTGACAACTGCAGCATTAGGGTAAGGCTGACAACTGCAGCATTAGGGTCATACTGACAACTGCAGCATTAGGGTAAGACTGATAACTGCAGCATTAGGGTAAGACTGATAACTGCAGCATCAGGGTAAGGCTGATAACTGCAGCATTAGGGTCATACTGACAACTGCAGCATTAGGGTAAGACTGACAACTGCAGCATTAGGGTAAGACTGACAACTGTAGCATTAGGGACAGTCAGACTGACAACTGCAGCATTAGGATTAGATCGACAACTGCAGCATTAGGGTCAGACTGACAACTGTAGCATTAAGGTAAGGCTGACAACTGCAGCATTAGGGTAAGACTAACAACTGAAGCATTAGGGTCAGACTGAAAACTGCAGCATTAGGGTAAGACTAACAACTGAAGCATTAGGGTAAGACTGACAACTGCAGCATTAGGGTAAGGCTGACAACTGAAGCATTAGGGTCAGACTGACAACTGCAGCATTAGGGTAAGGCTGATAACTGAAGCATTAGGGTCAGACTGACAACTGCAGCATTAGGGTAAGACTGACAACTGAAGCATTAGGGTAAGGCTGACAACTGAAGCATTAGGGTAAGACTGACAACTGCAGCATTAGGGTAAGGCTGACAACTGCAGCATTAGGGTAAGACTGACAACTGCAGTATATTGGTAAGACTGACAACTGCAGCATTAGGGTAAGGTTGACAACTGCAGCATTAGGGTAAGACTGACAACTGAAGCATTAGGGTCAGACTGAAAACTGCAGCATCATGGTAAGACTGACAACTGCAGCATTAGGGTAAGGCTGACAACGCAGCATTAGGGTAAGACTGACCACTGAAGCATTAGGGTAAGACTGACAACTGCAGCATTAGGGTAAGGCTGACAACTGCAGCATTAGGGTAAGGTTGACAACTGCAGCATCATGGTAAGACTGATAACTGCAGTATTATGATTAGATTGACAACTGCAGCATTAGGGTAAGACTGACAGCTGTAGCATTAGGGTAAGGCTGACAGCTGCAGCATTAGGGTAAGACTGACAACTGCAGCATTAGGGTAAGACTGACAACTGCAGCATTAATGAAGACTGACAACTGCAGCATTAAGGTAAGATTGACAACTGCAGCATTTAGGGTAAGACTGACAACTGCAGCATTAGGGTTGACTGAAAACTGCAGCATTTAGGGTAAAAGACAACTGCAGCATTAGGGTAAGGCTGACAACTGCAGCATTAGGGACTGACAACTGCAGCATTAGGGTAAGACTGACAAATGCAGCATTAGGGAAAGACTGACAACTGTAGCATTAGGGTAAGCCTGACAACTGCAGCATTAGGGTCAGACTAACAACTGAAGCATTAGGGTAAGACTGACAACTGCAGCATTAGGGTAAGACTGACAACTGCAGCATTAGGGTAAGACTGACAACTGCAGCATTAGGGTAAGACTGACAACTGCAGCATTAGGGTAAACTGACAACTGCAGCATTAGGGTAAGGCTGACAACTGAGCATTGACAACTGCAGCATTAGGGTAAGACTGACAACTGCAGCATTAGGGTAAGACTGACAACTGCAGCATTAGGGTAAGGCTGGCAACTGCAGCATTAGGGTCAGACTGACAACTGCAATATTATGGTAAGACTGACAACTGCAGCATTAGGGTCAGAACGACAACTGCAGCATCATGGTAAGACTGACAACTGTAGCATTAGGGTAAGACTGACAATTGCAGCATTAGGGTAAGACTAACAACTGCAGCATTAGGGTAAGACTGACAACTGCAGCATTAGGGTAAGACTGACAACTGCAGCATTAGGGTAAGGCTGACAACTGCAGCATTAGGGTAAGACTGACAACTGCAGCATTAGGGTAAGACTGACAACTGCAGCATTAGGGTAAGACTGACAACTGCAGCATTAGGGTAAGACTGACAACTGCAGCATTAGGGTAAGACTAACAACTGAAGCATTAGGGTAAGACTGACAACTGCAGCATTAGGGTAAGGCTGACAACTGAAGCATTAGGGTAAGACTGACAACTGCAGCATTAGGGTAAGGCTGACAACTGCAGCATTAGGGTAAGACTGACAACTGCAGTATATTGGTAAGACTGACAACTGCAGCATTAGGGTAAGACTGACAACTGAAGCATTAGGGTCAGACTGAAAACTGCAGCATCATGGTAAGACTGACAACTGCAGCATTAGGGTAAGACTGACAAATGCAGCATTAGGGTAAGACTGACAACTGTAGCATTAGGGTAAGACTGACAACTGTAGCATTAGGGTAAGGCTGACAACTGCAGTATTATGGTAAGGTTGACAACTGCAGCATCATGGTAAGACTGATAATTGCAGTATTATGATTAGATTGACAAGCTGCAGCATTAGGGTAAGACTGACAACTGCAGCATTAGGGTAAGACTGACAACTGCAGCATTAATGAATGATTGACAACTGCAGCATTAAGGTAAGACTGACAACTGCAGCATTTAGGGTAAGACTGACAACTGCAACATTAGGGTTAGATTGACAACTGCAGCATTAGGGTAAGACTGATAACTGCAGCATTAGGGTAAGACTGACAACTGCAGCATTAGGTAAGTGACAATTGCAGCATTAGGGAAAGACAACTGTAGCATTAGGGTAAGACTGACAACTGCAGCATTAGGGTAAGGCTGACAACTGTAGCATTAGGGTCAGACTGACAAATGCAGCATTAGGGTAAGACTGCCAACCGCAGCATTAGGGTAAGGCTGACAACTGCAGCATTAGGGTAAGACTGACAACTGCAGCATTAGGGTAAGACTGACAACTGCAGCATTAGGGTTAGGTGGCAACTGCAGCATTAAGATTAAACTGACAACTGCAGCATTAGGGTAAGACTGACAACTGTAGCATTAGGGTAAGACTGACAATTGCAGCATTAGGGAAAGATTGACAACTGCAGCATTAGGGTAAGGCTGACAACTGCAGCATTAGGGTAAGACTGACAACTGAAGCATTAGGGTAAGACTGACAACTGCAGCATTAGGGTAAGGCTGACAACTGCAGCATTAGGGTCATTGCACTGACAACTGCAGCATTAGGGTAAGACTGACAACTGCAGCATTAGGGTAAGACTGACAACTGCAGCATTAGGGACAACTGCAGTAAGACTGACAACTGCAGCATTAGGGTAAGACTGACAACTGCAGCATTAGGGTAAGACTGACAACTGCAGCATTAGGGTCAGACAGACTGACAAATGCTGCATTAGGGTAAGACTGACAACTGAAGCATTAGGGTAAGACAACTGCAGCATTAGGGTAAGACTAAGACTGTAAGACTGACAACTGCAGCATTAGGGTAAGACTGACAACTGACAAAGCATTAGGGTAAGACTGACAACTGCAGCATTAGGGTAAGACTGACAACTGCAGCATTAGGGTAAGACTGACAACTGCAGCATTAGGGTAAGGCTGACAACTGAAGCATTAGGGTAAGACTGACAACTGCAGCATTAGGGTAAGGCTGACAACTGCAGCATTAGGGTAAGACTGACAACTGCAGTATATTGGTAAGACTGACAACTGCAGCATTGGTAAGACTGACAACTGCAGCATTAGGGTAAGGCTGACAACTGCAGCATAAGGGTAAGAATGACAACTGCAGAATAATGGTAAGACTGACAACTGCAGCATTAGGGTAAGACTGACAACTGCAGCATTAGGGACAGACTGACAACTGCAGCATTAGGGTAAGACTGACAACTGCAGCATTAGGGTAAGACTGACAACTGCAGCATTAGGGTAAGGCTGACAACTGCAGCATTAGGGTGACAACTGTAGCATTAGGGTAAGACTGACAATTGCAGCATTAGGGAAAGATTGACAACTGCAGCATTAGGGTAAGGCTGACAACTGCAGCATTAGGGTAAGACTAACAACTGAAGCATTAGGGTCAGACTGAAAACTGCAGCATCATGGTAAGACTGACAACTGCAGCATTAGGGTAAGGCTGACAACTGCAGCATTAGGGTAAGACTGACAACTGCAGCATTAGGGTAAGTCTGACAACTGCAGCATTAGGGTAAGACTGACAACTGCAGCATTAGGGTAAGACTGACAACTGCAGTATTATTTAATGATTGACAACTGCAGCATTAGGGTAAGACTGACAGCTGTAGCATTAGGGTAAGGCTGACAGCTGCAGCATTAGGGTAAGACTGACAACTGCAGCATTAGGGTAAGACTGACAACTGCAGCATTAATGAATGATTGACAACTGCAGCATTAAGGTAAGACTGACAACTGCAACATTAGGGTTAGATTGACAACTGCAGCATTAAGATTAGATTGATAACTGCAGCATTAGGGTAAGACTGACAAATGCAGCATTAGGGTAAGACTGACAATTGCAGCATTAGGGAAAGATTAACAACTGTAGCATTAGGGTAAGACTGACAACTGTAGCATTAGGGTAAGGCTGACAACTGCAGTATTATGGTAAGACTGAAAAATGCAGCATTAGGGTCGGACTGAAAAATGCAGCATTAGGGTAAAACTGACAACTGCAGCATTAGGGTCAGACTGACAACTGCAGCATTAGGGAATGATTGACAACTGCAGCATTAAGGTAAGACTGACAACTGCAGCATTTAGGGTAAGACTGACAACTGCAACATTAGGGTTAGATTGGCAACTGCAGCATTAAGATTAGATTGATAACTGCAGCATTAGGGTAAGACTGACAACTGTAGCATTAGGGTAAGACTGACAATTGCAGCATTAGGGAAAGATTGACAACTGCAGCATTAGGGTAAGACTGACAACTGCAGCATTAAGGTTAGACTGAAAGGCTCCTTAAGGATTAATTTGGCAGAATTAGTTTGTTTTTATATGATCAAAGTTCTATAGAGTGCACTTAATATTTTGATCTTCTTATTACAAAGCTTTTGTTTATCCTCTTTTTATTGGAACATTGGAAAACTCAAAATATTTGAAGCTCAAATTTCTGACAGGTCATGAATCTTATGTATCTCATATACAAGTACATACATCTGTGTTGCACCTGGCTTATGTATAACTGACAAAGTCTCAACAGTGACTAATAGGGTTAGGCTTCCTCTGTTTATAATCATATAAGTGTGTTAGTATTAAACACTCCATGTTGGCCATTTATAAGGATAAACACAATTTAGCCCAATTTGTTAACAAAATAATATACTTTAAAGTCATTTTGTTTGACATATCCCTTTTGAGTGTAAAACATGAAGCATTTTGATAAGGAGTGATACATGATATAAACAAATGATTGGTGTGGTGTTCCTGGGCTATAACAGCAATAGTGGGTGTGTGTGGTTTAAACTGTTAATAATCAATAAGGACAGAATGAACCACAGGAAGTACAAAGGGAGGCAGTAGTTATGAGGGAAGGAACAATAAAGTTGAATTGTAACAAACAATCGCTGTAAGAACAAAAGAAGAAATTCCATGGTCTTCATCAAGAAAACAAGTAGGATTGTGCCAGACAACCACAGGAAGTACAAAGGGAGATGTTAGTTATCATTAGGAACAAAAATGTTGGTGGATTGTGCCAGACAACCACAGGAAGTACAAAGGGAGATGCTAGTTATCATTAGGAACAAAAATGTTGGTGGATTGTGCCAGACAACCACAGGAAGTACAAAGGGAGATGCTAGTTATCATTAGGAACAAAAATGTTGGATTGTGCCAGACAACCACAGGAAGTACAAAGGGAGACATTAGTTATCATTAGGAACAAAAATGTTGGATTGTGCCAGACAACCACAGGAAGTACAAAGGGAGTCGTTAGTTATCATCAGAAACAAATAAATTGGTGGATTGTGCCAGACAACCACAGGAAGTACAAAGGGAGTCGTTAGTTATCATCAGAAACAAATAAATTGGTGGATTGTGCCAGACAACCACAGGAAGTACAAAGGGAGTCGTTAGTTATCATCAGAAACAAATAAATTGGTGGATTGTGTTATAGGAGTTTATCATTTTCCTGTTATATATTTGTTATCTTACAAATTGTCATTCTTGATGTATTGTAGGAAGGTCTGCGAGCCAAAGATTCTGTCAGACGAATAAAAAACATGGACACTGTAATCAACACTCACAGACAGAAAGTGTATGTAACACTCGGGCATTATGGGAAATGGACATGTCATTATAGCATATTGAGGATGTTCATGCCAAAGACACTAGGGAGTGACATCATCATTAACGTGTACAATAAGCTAGGTTTTACACCTATAAAGATGTTATCAAGTTAGAAAGGCTATACGAGGAGGGAATTATATCTGAGCATTTGTTGGCAGGTGGAAAAAAAAAGATAACTAGAAAGTAGACAATAACTGAAAACATGTATGTTTTAGCTGAAAGCATATTTGTGCAAAAATATGATTTCACAAACATCAGTTTTTGTTTGTTGCTGATAAATCAATTATTATGGATTCTTAGTTTCATCACTGCATTAATTCACTAAAAAGTGACAACCTGCTAAAATCTGATTTGTTTACAGCATCTATTGTTTGGGCTGATGACATTTCAATGTGGTTCTGAATCTACCAATGAAGAAATTAGCCTAAAGTTATTTAAACACTTATATAAATTGACTATGAGGTAGTTTACTATAAAATCGTGGTGTTGGGAGTTGTGACCTAAAGTTCTACACCGTGACAGTGCTGTAACAACATTTATATTACAAGGTCGGACGGTCAGGCAGGTTAGGTCTTTCAAACATCAGGGAAGTTGGCTAGGAACAATACCCTGCCAATAGGTTACATGACTAGGCACAAATTGTGATACTGATGTCAGCGCCACCTACGTATGCTTGAAGCGTGAACAACTTGGGGAACTGTGATTGCATTAGCTGCCATACTGAATTTCCGGACTGAAATATAGTTGATTAAGCAAGAAAAACAGGTTTTTATTTTTAATATGAAGACAATACTGTAAATAGACGATTGAGTCAGCAGCTCTGTGGATATATTTCTCTTATTATACTTCAAAGCAATAGACATCATAACACATTCATCATCTCAATTTGTATTATTATTGTTAAGTACTACTACCAGGTAATCCATGTAAATCTCACCACTTTTACACTAAAGGTCATTACTTTCTGGCATGTTGAAGGCCAACTACATTAATTGGAGATATTAGTTCTGTACACCAGATGTGATAATAGAGAACTATATATATGTATCTACAGAACATGTGTTTATACTGAAATGTGAAGGTCACACATACATTACAAACTAATTCCACATGTTCAATAAACAAAATATGATTTCTTTATTTCATATATTAGACCCATGTCTTCCAACTAATAGAAAGGATTTATAACCTCAGACCAGTAGTTTTCTGTTATAAAAAGAGAGTACAGCTTTGGTAATCTCCTAAGTAAGAAGTCAATCCTGGATCTCCACTTCCCAGTCAGTAATTCTGTGTCTATAGAGCGTGCTGACATGTAAAATGGATTCCCAGTCAGTAATTCTGTGTCTATAGAGCATGCTGACATGTAAAATGGATTCCCAGTCAGTAATTCTGTGTCTATAGAGCATGCTGACATGTAAAATGGATTCCCAGTCAGTAATTCTGTGTCTATAGAGCATGCTGACATGTAAAATGGATTCCCAGTCAGTAATTCTGTGTCTATAGAGCATGCTGACATGTAAAATGGATTCCCAGTCAGTAATTCTGTGTCTATAGAGCATGCTGACATGTAAAATGGATTCCCAGTCAGTAATTCTGTGTCTATAGAGCATGCTGACATGTAAAATGGATTCCCAGTCAGTAATTCTGTGTCTATAGAGCATGCTGACATGTAAAATGGATTCCCAGTCAGTAATTCTGTGTCTATAGAGCATGCTGACATGTAAAATGGATTCCCAGTCAGTAATTCTGTGTCTATAGAGCATGCTGACATGTAAAATGGATTCCCAAATCATAAGACTATTTACACAAAGTAATAACAAGATTTATGATACAAAAGCCAATACTGTATTACTGTAAAGGTTCCTAACAGAAAGGATTCAATGATAAACTTTCAATACCAGCTCGTTACATCATTATGATTCAGTAATGATTTCACACAGAAAACTCTAAACAAGTTTACAATCATACATTAGAACTTTATACCAACAAAAGAACACATGATCCAGGAACACCCTATCATATATCTTACCTATTTTTGCTTTAGATTTTCCTTTTGCTAATTTTCCGTGTGCTGCTTCCTCCATAGCAACAAAGGGTCTATACATAGGTGGCGCTGGTGCCAGCTGGAGATTGTCCCAGTCGGCTACTCCAGCCTCACAACGATGATTGGGGACGGGTGGTGGTAGTGTAACAGATTCTTTTTCTTCAACAATTTCTGTCTTCTCCTCTACAATGCCATCTGTACTCAAAAACATCAAAATTCTATGATGAAATAAAAAGTTATCACTTCCAATACTAGTAAAATTTATGCATTTTTCTTTGTGTTAATCACATTCAATACTCCAGGTTTTTCTTTTAATTTTCCTTTAGAAATTCTTTTTATGTCAATGTTTTTGTTTGCATGTACAGTAGATGTGACAACATTTTCTATGTGAGGATACAATCACCAGGTTCTATAGCTATAAAATACTAAGTGCATGCACACCTAAATCATGTCAATAATTCTGAAAGACAAGCAACTACCACTACCAACATATATACAGCATGTCTAAATACCTACATCACTTTTACTGAATAAAGATGACCTTTAGTCTACATCTAAATACCTACACCTTTAGTCTACATCTAAATACCTACATCACTTTTACTGAATAAAGATGACCTTTAGTCTACATCTAAATACCTACATCACTTTTACTGAATAAAGATGACCTTTAGTCTACATCTAAATACCTACATCACTTTTACTGAATAAAAATTAACATTTCATATTTTTGAACAATTCTTCTTCAGGTAATGTGTATTTAACAGAACTGTAGTCCTTATATCACAACCAGTTAAAATAATGATTTGTGATATTGTGACTGACACCTCCATTAGTGTTGCCAACTCATCTGATTTGGTCTAGTAAATCTGATATAGGCCACATCATGAGCTGCTCAAATCGTGAAAGATTCTACAATCACTTGGTATTTGTGTACTTTTGATCAGTATTCAAACATTTTTAAATCAATTTTTGGATCCAATGTAGTGAAAACTTTGTTGAAACATAACATAGAACATTAACTGACAGATGTGATAACTGTACAGAATTAATCATAAGGCTTTTTAAGATCTTTAAAAAAAAACCTGCCACTTTTGATTCTGAAGAGCTCAGCCAAAATATTTGATAATAGTAGATGGCGACACGGCTGCATCAATCAAATGACTGGTGACAAGATAGTTAAGTAAGGCAAAGAGGTATACAATGTATTTGTGATAAATCTCAGAACTTTTCACCTAAAGTGAAATCTTACATAAGGTACATGGTAGTATGACGAGATGATACATACATAAGGTACATGGTAGTATGACGAGATGATGATACATACATAAGGTATATGGTAGTATGACGAGATGATGATACATACATAAGGTATATGGTAGTATGACGAGATGATGATACCTACATAAGGTACATGGTAGTATGACGAGATGATGATACCTACATAAGGTATATGGTAGTATGACGAGATGATACATACATAAGGTATATGGTAGTATGACGAGATGATGATACATACATATGGTATATGGTAGTATGATGAAATGATGATACATACATAAGGTATATGGTAGTATGATGAGATGATGATACATACATAAGGTATACGGTAGTATGACGAGATGATGATACATACATAAGGTATATGGTAGTATGATGAGATGATGATACATACATATGGTATATGGTAGTATGATGAGATGATGATACATACATAAGGTATATGGTAGTATGACGAGATGATACATACATAAGGTATATGGTAGTATGACGAGATGATGATACATACATAAGGTATACGGTAGTATGACGAGATGATGATACATACATAAGGTATATGGTAGTATGATGAGATGATGATACATACATATGGTATATGGTAGTATGATGAGATGATGATACATACATAAGGTATATGGTAGTATGACGAGATGATGATACATACATATGGTATATGGTAGTATGATGAGATGATGATACATACATAAGGTATATGGTAGTATGACGAGATGATGATACATACATAAGGTATATGGTAGTATGATGAGATGATGATACATACATAAGGTATATGGTAGTATGACGAGATGATGATAATGTAATATTGGTGATCTTCTATATAGACATAAGGTGACAGCCATATACAATCTCATCATGTTATAAATAGTCAGTAGTGATGTTATAAATAGTCAGTAGTGATATGATAAATAGTCAGTTGTGATGTTATAAATAGTCAGTTGTGATGTTATAAATAGTCAGTAGTGATATGATAAATAGTCAGTTGTGATGTTATGAATAGTCAGTAGTAATATGATAAATAGTCAGTTGTGATGTTATAAATAGTCAGTAGTGATGTTATAAATAGTCAGTAGTGATATGATAAATAGTCAGTAGTAATATGATAAATAGTCATTAGTGATGTGATAAATAGTCAGTAGTGATGTTATAAATAGTCAGTAGTGATATGATAAATAGTCAGTTGTGATGTTATAAATAGTCAGTAGTGATGTTATAAATAGTCAGTTGTGATGTTATAAATAGTCAGTAGTAATATGATAAATAGTCAGTTGTGATGTTATAAATAGTCAGTAGTGATATGATAAATAGTCAGTTGTGATGTTATAAATAGTCAGTAGTGATATGATAAATAGTCAGTAGTGATGTTATAAATAGTCAGTTGTGATGTTATAAATAGTCAGTAGTGATATGATAAATAGTCATTAGTGATATGATAAATAGTCATTAGTGATGTGATAAATAGTCAGTAGTGATATGATAAATAGTCATTAGTGATATGATAAATAGTCAGTAGTGATATGATAAATAGTCAGTAGTGATATGATAAATAGTCATTAGTGATGTGATAAATAGTCAGTAGTGATATGATAAATAGTCAGTAGTAATATGATAAATAGTCAGTTGTGATGTAATGAATAGTCAGTAGTGATGTTATAAATAGTCAGTAGTGATATGATAAATAGTCAGTTGTGATGTTATAAATAGTCAGTTGTGATGTTATATATAGTCAGTTGTGATGTTATAAATAGTCAGTAGTGATATGATAAATAGTCATTAGTGATATGATAAATAGTCATTAGTGATGTGATAAATAGTCAGTAGTGATATGATAAATAGTCATTAGTGATATGATAAATAGTCAGTAGTGATATGATAAATAGTCAGTAGTGATGTGATAAATAGTCAGTAGTGATATGATAAATAGTCAGTAGTGATATGATAAATAGTCAGTAGTAATATGATAAATAGTCAGTAGTGATATGATAAATAGGTATATGGTAGTATGATGAGATGATGATACATACATATGATATATGGTAGTATGATGAGATGATGATACATACATAAGGTATATGGTAGTATGACGAGATGATGATACATACATATGGTATATGGTAGTATGATGAGATGATACATACATAAGGTATATGGTAGTATGACGAGATGATGATACATACATATGGTATATGGTAGTATGATGAGATGATGATACATACATAAGGTATATGGTAGTATGACGAGATGATGATACATACATATGGTATATGGTAGTATGATGAGATGATGATACATACATAAGGTATATGGTAGTATGACGAGATGATGATACATACATAAGGTATATGGTAGTATGATGAGATGATGATACATACATAAGGTATATGGTAGTTTGACGAGATGATGATAATGTTCTATTGGTGATCTTCTATATAGACATAAGGTGACAGCCATATACAATCTCATCATGTTATAAATAGTCAGTAGTGATGTTATAAATAGTCAGTAGTGATATGATAAATAGTCAGTTGTGATGTTATAAATAGTCAGTTGTGATGTTATAAATAGTCAGTAGTGATATGATAAATAGTCAGTTGTGATGTTATAAATAGTCAGTTGTGATGTTATAAATAGTCAGTAGTGATATGATAAATAGTCAGTTGTGATGTTATGAATAGTCAGTAGTAATATGATAAATAGTCAGTTGTGATGTTATAAATAGTCAGTAGTGATGTTATAAATAGTCAGTAGTGATATGATAAATATTCAGTAGTAATATGATAAATAGTCATTAGTGATTTTATAAATAGTCAGTAGTGATGTTATAAATAGTCAGTAGTGATATGATAAATAGTCAGTTGTGATGTTATAAATAGTCAGTAGTGATGTTATAAATAGTCAGTTGTGATGTTATAAATAGTCAGTAGTAATATGATAAATAGTCAGTTGTGATGTTATAAATAGTCAGTAGTGATATGATAAATAGTCAGTTGTGATGTTATAAATAGTCAGTAGTGATATGATAAATAGTCAGTAGTGATATGATAAATAGTCAGTTGTGATGTTATAAATAGTCAGTAGTGATATGATAAATAGTCATTAGTGATATGATAAATAGTCATTAGTGATGTGATAAATAGTCAGTAGTGATATGATAAATAGTCATTAGTGATATGATAAATAGTCAGTAGTGATATGATAAATAGTCAGTAGTGATATGATAAATAGTCATTAGTGATGTGATAAATAGTCAGTAGTGATATGATAAATAGTCAGTAGTGATATGATAAATAGTCAGTTGTGATGTAATGAATAGTCAGTAGTGATGTTATAAATAGTCAGTAGTGATATGATAAATAGTCAGTTGTGATGTTATAAATAGTCAGTTGTGATGTTATATATAGTCAGTTGTGATGTTATAAATAGTCAGTAGTGATATGATAAATAGTCATTAGTGATATGATAAATAGTCATTAGTGATGTGATAAATAGTCAGTAGTGATATGATAAATAGTCATTAGTGATATGATAAATAGTCAGTAGTGATATGATAAATAGTCAGTAGTGATGTGATAAATAGTCAGTAGTGATATGATAAATAGTCAGTAGTGATATGATAAATAGTCAGTAGTAATATGATAAATAGTCAGTAGTGATATGATAAATAGTCAGTAGTGATGTGATAATTAATGAGTTATTAGTGATATGATAATTAATGAGTTATTAGTGATATGATAATTAATGAGTTATTAGTGATATGATAATTAATGAGTTATTAGTGATATGATGAATAGTCAGTAGTGATATGATAAATAGTCATTAGTGATATGATAAATAGTCAGTAGTGATATGATGAATAGTCATTAGTGATATGATAAATAGTCATTAGTGATATGATAAATAGTCATATCACTAATGACTATTTATCATATCACTATATGATAAATAGTCATTAGTGATATGATGAATAGTCATTAGTGATATGATAAATAGTCAGTAGTGATATGATAAATAGTCAGTATTGATATGATAAATAGTCATTAGTGATATGATGAATAGTCAGTAGTGATATGATAAATAGTCATTAGTGATATGATGAATAGTCAGTAGTGATATGATAAATAGTCAGTAGTGATGTGATAATTAATGAGTTATTAGTGATATGATAATTAATGAGTTATTAGTGATATGATAATTAATGAGTTATTAGTGATATGATAATTAATGAGTTATTAGTGATATGATGAATAGTCAGTAGTGATATGATAAATAGTCATTAGTGATATGATAAATAGTCAGTAGTGATATGATAAATAGTCATTAGTGATATGATAAATAGTCATTAGTGATATGATAAATAGTCATATCACTAATGACTATTTATCATATCACTATATGATAAATAGTCATTAGTGATATGATGAATAGTCATTAGTGATATGATAAATAGTCAGTAGTGATATGATAAATAGTCAGTATTGATATGATAAATAGTCATTAGTGATATGATGAATAGTCAGTAGTGATATGATAAATAGTCATTAGTGATATGATGAATAGTCAGTAGTGATATGATAATTAATGAGTTATTAAGATACTTTACTCCACAGAGAGAGAAGATGAAATTTTAAGTGTTAAGATCATCATATATAACCACAGCTTAGTTAAATAGTGACAAATACAGCAGTATTTCCAAAGGCCAGATAATACATACAGAAATATGGTCAACGTTTCACTGATCAGAACTCACAGATATTGGGATACTTAGTTCTGATGAACCAAACATCAACCCAATTTTTTTTTTTTTTTTTTTTTTACTAGGGTTATCTATACTAGTGTCAGGATTTTAAAGAGAATGTGATTTCAGTTTCAATTGTTCCTCAAGATAACCCAAGAGAAAGCATTAACAAGGTTGTGTAAATTATCCTGAACAATTAAACTTTATATTGTTTGTCTTTTTAAAACATTGGATTTAAAAGATTTATGACAGAAGTTAACACTGGGGAAACTGGGTCCAAATGTGTATAATTTCTAGTACAGTGAAAAGTTGATCCAATGCGATAGAGGCTATGTAAAGCATGCACACAGCAAAGCAAGTGTTACAAAGACCTGGCACATTCTCTCCTCCAATAGCTACACCCTCATCATCTGTTCCTACAGCAATGCCTGTTTTATCCTCATCCTCCTCTACTTTCCTCTCCAACCCATCATCACCTTTTTCTTTTTCCTCTTCTTCATTCTCCTCTTCACCCTGGTCCTCTGGTGCATCTGTCAGACAAATAATACATAATCATCTTTAATAAGAATATCAAAACCCTAGGAAACATTATTGTTCTTGATCAGTAAGCCATTGAAAAGTCGCCAGATCGTATTTTCTGTCAATATAAATAACAGGATAATTTATCACCAACATTGTATTCATATTGAAAACATTTTTACTAACATTTCAAATATCGTTTAGCAATATGAACGAACCTATTTAATCACTTATGATGTTTATTCCTTATATGTAGGTTTACTATTAAATCTTCCTTAAAATCACAATCACCAGAATGATTGACATAAAGCTTTGATTTCTGTTATCCGAGATGACATTGATTTAATATTGATCAGCATGATATAGTGATTAAAGTCCTACCCTCAATGATGTCTGTCTGTGTTTGGGATTTTGAAAGTTCGTCTTCCTTATCTTCCTCCTCTGGAACCTCGCCACTATCGGATGTATTGATCTGGTCTGACACTGGATAAGGTACCACCTGATAGCCACTGAAACATTTGTTATTGACAGACTTAAAACCCATAAAGTATTACATGTGGACATAACTTTCCTGTTATAGTGTGAGTATAGATAGTCTGTTATAGTATGTGTGTATAGTCAGTCTGTTATAGTGTGTGTGTATAGTCAGTCTGCTATAGTGTGTGTGTATAGACAGTCTCTTATAGTGTGTGTGTATAGAAAGTCTGTTATAGTGTGTGTGTATAGATAGTCTGTTATAGTGTGTGTGTGTATAGTCTGTTATAGTGTAATTATAGATAGTCTGTTATAGTGTGTGTGTATAGATAGTCTGTTATAGTGTGTGTGTATAGATAGTCTGTTATAGTGTGTGTGTATAGATAGTCTGTTATAGTGAGTGTGTATAGATAGTCTGTTATAGTGTGTGTGTATAGTCAGTCTGTTATAGTGTGTGTGTATAGATAGTCTTTTATAGTGTGTGTATAGATAGTCTATTATAGTGTGTGTACAGATAGTCTGTTATAGTGTGTGTATAGATAGTCTGTTATAGTGTTTATAGATAGTCTGTTATAGTGTGTTTATAGATAGTCTGCTATAGTGTGTGAGTATAGATAGTCTGTTATAGTGTGTGTGTATAGATAGTCTGTTATAGTGTGTATAGATAGTCTGTAATAGTGTATTTATAGAGAGTCTGTTATAGTGTGTGTGTATAGATAGTCTGTTATAGTGTGTGTGCATAGATAGTCTGTTATAGTGTGAGTATAGATAGTCTGTTATAGTGTGTGTGTGTGTGTATAGATAGTCTGTTAAAGTGTGTATAGATAGTCTGTTATAGTGTGTGTGTATAGATAGTCTGTTATAGTGTGTGTGTATAGATAGTCTGTTATAGTGTGTGTGTATAGATAGTCTGTTATAGTGTGTGTGTATAGATAGTCTGTTATAGTGTGTGTATAGATAGTCTGTAATAGTGTGTGTATATAGATAGTCTGTTATAGTGTGTGTATAGATAGTCTGTTATAGTGTGTGTGTATAGATAGTCTGTTATAGTGTGTGTGTATAAATAGTTTGTTATAGTGTGTGTGTATAGATAGTCTGTTATAGTGTGTGTGTATAGATAGTCTGTTATAGTGTGTGTGTATAGATAGTCTGTTATAGTGTGTATAGATAGTCTGTTATAGTGTGTGTGTGTAGATAGTCTGTTATAGTATGTATAGATAGTCTGTTATAGTGTGTTTATAGATATTCTGTTATAGTGTGTGTGTATAGATAGTCTGTTATAGTGTGTGTGTGTATAGATAGTCTGTTATAGTGTGTGTATAGATAGCCTGTTATAGTGTGTGTATATAGATAGTCTGTTATAGTGTGTGTGTATAGATAGTCTGTTATAGTGTGTGTGTATAGATAGTCTGTTATAGTGTGTGTGTATAAATAGTTTGTTATAGTGTGTGTATAGTCAGTCTGTTATGGTGTGTCTGTATAGATAGTCTGTTATAGTGTGTGTGTATAGATAGTCTGTTATAGTGTGTGTGTATAGATAGTCTGTAATAGTGTGTGTGTGTATAGTCTGTTATAGTGTGAGTATAGATAGTCTGTTATAGTGTGTGTGTATAGATAGTCTGTTATAGTGTGTGTGTATAGATAGTCTGTTATAGTGTGTGTGTATAGATAGACTGTTATAGTGTGAGTATAGATAGTCTGTTATAGTGTGTGTGTATAGATAGTCTGTTATAGTGTGTATAGATAGTCTGTTATAGTGTGAGTATAGATAGTCTGTTATAGTGTGTGAGTATAGATAGTCTGTTATAGTGTGTGTGTATAGATAGTCTGTTATAGTGTGTGTGTATAGATAGTCTGTTATAGTGTGTGTGTATAGATAGACTGTTATAGTGTGAGTATAGATAGTCTGTTATAGTGTGTGTGTATAGTCAGTCTGTTATAGTGTGTGTATAGATAGTCTGTTATAGTGTGTGTGTATAGATAGACTGTTATAGTGTGTGTATAGATAATCTGTTATAGTGTGTGTGTATAGTCAGTCAGTTATAGTGTGTGTATAGATAGTCTGTTATAGTGTGTGTGTATAGATAGTCTGTTATAGTGTGTGTGTATAGATAGTCTGTTATAGTGTGTGTGTATAGATAGTCTGTTATAGTGTGTATAGATAGTCTGTTATAGTGGGTGTATAGATAGTCTGTTATAGTGTGTTTATAGATAGTCTGTTATAGTGTGAGTATAGATAGTCTGTTATAGTGTGTGTATAGATAGTCTGTTATAGTGTGTGTATAATCAGTCTGTTATAGTGTGTGTGTATAGATAGACTGTTATAGTGTGTGTATAGATAGTCTGTTATAGTGTGTGTGTATAGATAGTCTGTTATAGTGTGTGTGTATAGTCTGTTATAGTGTGTGTATATAGATAGTCTGTTATAGTGTGTGTGTATAGATAGTCTGTTATAGTGTGTGTGTATAGATAGTCTGTTATAGTGTGTGTGTATAAATAGTTTGTTATAGTGTGTGTATAGTCAGTCTGTTATAGTGTGTGTGTATAGATAGTCTGTTATAGTGTGTGTGTATTGATAGTCTGTAATAGTGTGTGTGTATAGATAGTCTGTAATAGTGTGTGTGTGTATAGTCTGTTATAGTGTGTGTGTATAGATAGTCTGTTATAGTGTGAGTATAGATAGTCTGTTATAGTGTGTGTGTGTATAGATAGTCTGTTATATTGTGTGTATAGATACTCTGTTATAGTGTGTGTGTATAGTCAGTCTGTTATAGTATGTGTGTATAGATAGTCTGTTATAGTGTGTGTGTATAGATAGTCTGTTATAGTGTGTATAGATATTCTGTTATAGTGTGTGTGTATAGATAGTCTGTTATAGTGTGTGTGTATAGATAGTCTGTTATAGTGTGTGTGTATAGATAGTCTGTTATAGTGTGTATAGATAGTCTGTTATAGTGTATGTGTATAGTCAGTCTGTTATAGTGTGTGTGTATGTAGACAGCCTTTTCAGTCAATGTCTCAATGAAACTCTCGATATATAATATTATGGACCCAACACACTAAAGAAAGTTGATGGAGACACTGCCCCTTGTAATTCATTGGATCTCTAGAAAACATAAGAATGATACACAGGGTTATTATTTTGAAGCACAAACCACTATGATATTTGATACTTACAATGGTGTGTTAATGGGCTGGTCTTCTACATCTTCTATCATATCAAATAACACTGAGCCTTCTTTAGGTGCATAGTATTTAAACCCTACTTGTAATCGCAGCTCCCGTCCATGTTCTGATGGAAGAGATTTTAGTCATCAGTCATTGATAGGTCACTGATCACAATATAAAAACATAAGACATAAATTCTGCATTGAACAATTGGTTAACTAACAAGTAATCAACAATCTTCTTTGACTCTCATCTGACACTCCACCCTAACGGAGAAATCAACAGATCCCAGACAAGAGAGTTTTTAGTATCTATCATAGTTTACTCTATATTTGCTCTGTAAAAGTTGAGTGTTTTTTCCTTCTTTTCTTTTTTTCTTTGTTCTTAATCAAATATAAAATTTGAAAACTCCTCATAAAAATACTGATAAAAATTTTTATTTACAAGTATTTGTCAAATCCAAGATGTTTTGTCAGCCATTTTGTTTTTTGGATCATTCCCAAAATCAAAAGAGCACAACTTCAGCTGTACTGATAGCCTATAGATTTGAAAAAGATCCATCTAGTATTTCTCAAGAAAGAGTGATCACAACTTTAATTGTCAAAATTGAAGATGGCAATCTGTCAGCAAATTTTATTTTTATGATCAGAACTAAAATCAAAAAGGCACATTTAGGAAGTAAGGGAAATCTGCAGATAAAATCTGAGAAAGATCCAACCAGTACTTCTCAAGAAATACTGATAACAAACTTTAATTCTCAAAATTCAAGATGGCTACCTGTCAATCATGGCAGCTTTCTTATCAGTCCCAAAATTAAAAAAAAAAAACAAGAAAAAACTAAGGGCAAAGAAAAACCTTCAAGTGATATTTGAAAATTATCCATCGTTAAAATAATGATAACAGGTATTACTTACGGAATAGCCAAACATGTATATACTATCTAACAATGGTGGGCTAAAATCAGGAGCTATACATACCCTCAATGACCTCACCCTCATCGCTTTGACATTCCACCCTGACAGAGAAGGGAATACCCTGTCTGATGATCCAAGGATTTTCTTCAATCTTGATGACTAGTTTGGTGGCAAACTTGACTGGCTGACCATATGCCCATTCTCCATTGTAGTAAAAACCAGAAATATGTTTAAGAAGCCCATTTCCATGGAATAGATTGTCAATAAAATGGCCCTGTAAAAGGAAGTAGTTTCAGATTGGAATACGACTGATTGAAAACAGACATAAAAGCTAGGTTCCTTATCTGTTGTTATCAAGGACTTCCCTGGTTTCTTTAACAAATATCAAAATGTCGGAAAAGATCTGATTATAAAAGTGAGAAAGAAACATGGAGATGCCTTCACTGGGAAATTTCTGACCGTCATTAAATCGTTACCCGAGGAAAAATATCCTGGTACACAGTACATGTAATTACATCAAGAAAGGTATGTAAAGACTAATTACTAGCCAACAGAGAGACAAAGTCTTACTGTGTAGACAGTTCCATTAACAGAGGTGAGCTCTCCTTCTCCATAACGCCTGTCGTTGGCCCATTGACCTGCATACTTGTCACCGTTACTGTAAACCATACAAATAGTAATGAAAAGTTCATCACCATTACCGTAAAACATACAAATAGTAATGAAAAGTTCATTACTGTAAAACATACAAATAGTAATGAAAAGTTCATCACCGTTACTGTAAACCATACAAATAGTAATGAAAAGTTCATCACCGTTACTGCAAACCATACAAATAGTAATGAAAACTTCATTACTGTAAAACATACAAATAGTAATGAAAACTTCATTACTGTAAAACATACAAATAGTAATGAAAACTTCATTACTGTAAAACATACAAATAGTAATGAAAAGTTCATCACCATTACTGTAAAACATACAAATAGTAATGAAAAGTTCATCACCGTTACTGTAAACCATACAAATAATAATGAAAAGTTCATCACCGTTACTGTAAACCATACAAATAGTAATGAAAACTTCATCGCCGTTACTATAAAACATACAAATAGTAATGAAAAGTTCATTACTGTAAAACATACAAATAGTAATGAAAAGTTCATCACCGTTACTGTAAACCATACAAATAGTAATGAAAAGTTCATCACCATTACTGTAAAACATACAAATAGTAATGAAAAGTTCATTACTGTAAAACATACAAATAGTAATGAAAAGTTCATCACCGATACTGTAAACCATACAAATAGTAATGAAAAGTTCATCACCGTTACTGTAAACCATACAAATAGTAATGAAAACTTCATCACCGTTACTGTAAAACATACAAATAGTAATGAAAACTTCATTACTGTAAAACATACAAATAGTAATGAAAAGTTCATCACCGTTACTGTAAACCATACAAATAGTAATGAAAAGTTCATCACCGTTACTGTAAAACATACAAATAGTAATGAAAACTTCATTACTGTAAAACATACAAATAGTAATGAAAAGTTCATCACCGTTACTGCAAACCATACAAATAGTAATGAAAAGTTCATCACCGTTACTGTAAACCATACATACAAATAGTAATGAAAAAAGTTCATCACCGTTACTGTAAACCATACAAATAGTAATGAAAAGTTCATCACCGTTACTGCAAACCATACAAATAGTAATGAAAAGTTCATCATCGTTACTGTAAACCATACAAATAGTAATGAAAAGTTCATCACCGTTACTGTAAACCATACAAATAGTAATGAAAACTTCATCACCGTTACTGTAAAACATACAAATAGTAATGAAAAGTTCATCACCGTTACTGTAAACCATACAAATAGTAATGAAAAGTTCATCACCGTTACTGTAAACCATACAAATAGTAATGAAAAGTTCATCACCGTTACTGTAAACCATACAAATAGTAATGAAAACTTCATCACTGTAAAACATACAAATAGTAATTACTGTAAAACATACAAATAGTAATGAAAACTTCATCACCGTTACTGTAAAACATACAAATAGTAATGAAAAGTTCATCATCACCGAAAACTTCATCACCATTACTGTAAAACATACAAATAGTAATGAAAAGTTCATCACCATTACTGTAAAACATACAAATAGTAATGAAAAGTTCATCACCGTTACTGTAAACCATACAAATAGTAATGAAAACTTCATCACCGTTACTGTAAAACATACAAATAGTAATGAAAAGTTCATCACCGTTACTGTAAAACATACAAATAGTAATGAAAACTTCATCACCGTTACTGTAAAACATACAAATAGTAATGAAAAGTTCATCACCGTTACTGTAAAACATACGTTACCGTTACTGTAAACCATACAAATAGTAACAACCGTTACTGTAAAACATACAAATAGTAATGAAAACTTCATCACCATTACTGTAAAACATACAAATAGTAATGAAACATTCATCACCATTACTGTAAAACATACAAATAGTAATGAAAACTTCATCACCATTACTGTAAAACATACAAATAGTAATGAAAACTTCATTACCGTTACTGTAAACCATACAAATAGTAATGAAAAGTTCATCACCGTTACTGTAAACAAATAGTAATGTACTGTAAACCATACAAATAGTAATGAAAACTTCATCACCGTTACTGTAAAACATACAAATAGTAATGAAAAGTTCATCACCGTTACTGCAAACCATACAAATAGTAATGAAAAGTTCATCACCGTTACTGTAAAACATACAAATAGTAATGAAAACTTCATCACCGTTACTGAAAAGTTCATCACCGTTACTGTAAACCATACAAATAGTAATGAAAAGTTCATCACCGTTACTGTAAACCATACAAATAGTAATGAAAAGTTCATCACCGTTACTGTAAAACATACAAATAGTAATGAAAACTTCATTACTGTAAAACATACAAATAGTAATGAAAACTTCATTACTGTAAAACATACAAATAGTAATGAAAAGTTCATCACCATTACTGTAAAACATACAAATAGTAATGAAAAGTTCATCACCGTTACTGTAAACCATACAAATAGTAATGAAAAGTTCATCACCGTTACTGTAAACCATACAAATAGTAATGAAAAGTTCATCACCGTTACTGCAAACCATACAAATAGTAATGAAAAGTTCATCACCGTTACTGTAAACCATACAAATAGTAATGAAAAGTTCATCACCGTTACTGTAAACCATACAAATAGTAATGAAAAGTTCATCACCATTACTGTAAAACATACAAATAGTAATGAAAAGTTCATCACCGTTACTGTAAGTTCATCACCGTTACTGTAAACCATACAAATAGTAATGAAAAGTTCATCACCGTTACTGTAAACCATACAAATAGTAATGAAAAGTTCATCACCGTTACTGTAAAACATACAAATAGTAATGAAAAGTTCATTACTGTAAAACATACAAATAGTAATGAAAAGTTCATCACCGTTACTGTAAACCATACAAATAGTAATGAAAAGTTCATCACCATTACTGTAAAACATACAAATAGTAATGAAAACTTCATTACTGTAAAACATACAAATAGTAATGAAAACTTCATCACCATTACTGTAAAACATACAAATAGTAATGAAAAGTTCATCACCGTTACTGTAAAACATACAAATAGTAATGAAAACTTCATCACCGTTACTGTAAAAGTTCATTACTGTAAAACATACAAATAGTAATGAAAAGTTCATCGCCGTTACTGTAAACCATACAAATAGTAATGAAAACTTCATCACCGTTACTGTAAACCATACAAATAGTAATGAAAACTTCATCACCGTTACTGTAAAACATACAAATAGTAATGAAAACTTCATCACCATTACTGTAAAACATACAAATTGTAATGAAAAGTTCATCACCATTACTGTAAAACATACAAATAGTAATGAAAACTTCATTACTGTAAAACATACAAATAGTAATGAAAACTTCATCACCGTTACTGTAAAACATACAAATAGTAATGAAAAGTTCATCACCGTTACTGTAAAACATACAAATAGTAATGAAAAGTTCATTCATTACTGTAAAACATACAAATAGTAATGAAAAGTTCATCACCGTTACTGTAAACCATACAAATAGTAATGAAAAGTTCATCACCGTTACTGTAAACCATACAAATAGTAATGAAAAGTTCATCACCGTTACTGCAAACCATACAAATAGTAATGAAAAGTTCATCACCGTTACTGTAAACCATAGAAATAGTAATGAAAAGTTCATCACCGTTACTGTAAACCATACAAATAGTAATGAAAAGTTCATCACCGTTACTGTAAACCATACAAATAGTAATGAAAAGTTCATCACCATTACTGTAAAACATACAAATAGTAATGAAAAGTTCATCACCGTTACTGTAAACCATACAAATAGTAATGAAAAGTTCATCACCGTTACTGTAAACCATACAAATAGTAATGAAAAGTTCATCACCGTTACTGTAAAACATACAAATAGTAATGAAAAGTTCATTACTGTAAAACATACAAATAGTAATGAAAAGTTCATCACCGTTACTGTAAACCATACAAATAGTAATGAAAAGTTCATCACCATTACTGTAAAACATACAAATAGTAATGAAAACTTCATTACTGTAAAACATACAAATAGTAATGAAAACTTCATCACCATTACTGTAAAACATACAAATAGTAATGAAAAGTTCATCACCGTTACTGTAAAACATACAAATAGTAATGAAAACTTCATCACCGTTACTGTAAAAGTTCATTACTGTAAAACATACAAATAGTAATGAAAAGTTCATCGCCGTTACTGTAAACCATACAAATAGTAATGAAAACTTCATCACCGTTACTGTAAACCATACAAATAGTAATGAAAACTTCATCACCGTTACTGTAAAACATACAAATAGTAATGAAAACTTCATCACCATTACTGTAAAACATACAAATTGTAATGAAAAGTTCATCACCATTACTGTAAAACATACAAATAGTAATGAAAACTTCATTACTGTAAAACATACAAATAGTAATGAAAACTTCATCACCGTTACTGTAAAACATACAAATAGTAATGAAAAGTTCATCACCGTTACTGTAAAACATACAAATAGTAATGAAAACTTCATCACCGTTACTGTAAAACATACAAATAGTAATGAAAAGTTCATCACCGTTACTGTAAACCATACAAATAGTAATGAAAACTTCATCACCGTTACTGTAAAACATACAAATAGTAACGAAAACTTCATCACCATTACTGTAAACCATACAAATAGTAATGAAAAGTTCATCACCATTACTGTAAAACTTACAAATAGTAATGAAAAGTTCATCACCATTACTGTAAAACATACAAATAGTAATGAAAACTTCATCACCGTTACTGTAAACCATACAAATAGTAATGAAAACTTCATCACCGTTACTGTAAAACATACAAATAGTAATGAAAACTTCATCACCATTACTGTAAAACATACAAATTGTAATGAAAAGTTCATCACCATTACTGTAAAACATACAAATAGTAATGAAAAATCCATCAACGTTACCGTAATCCATACAAATAGTAATGAAAAGTTTATC